CTCTCTCTCTCTCTCTCTCTCTCTCTCTCTCTCTCTCTCTCTCTTTCTGAACTCGGTTTCCACTGTCACATCTGCTCTGACTCCAACCTCCCTGCATCCATCTGGTCAGTACAGGAAAACTTGCCCGTCTCAAGATCTTCGATTCACCACGTCCACAAAGCCCTTCTTGCCGTGTAAGATGACATGTTCACAAGTGCTCGGGATTGGAACGTGGACATCTCGTGACCATTATTCCATCTACCACCACAGGGGTCAGACTCATTCCCATTTATCATGACTGTGATTGCAGAAAAATGCAACAAAATCAAATGATCACCCCTGGAACCTCCAAGGGTCACTCGGCGTCCCGCTAAGCTCTTTGTGGGACCTTGTGTGGGCTCTCCAGAACCATGGATTATTATAATGCTATCCTGCGTTTATATAACACAACTCGTGCTTTTCAGAATTGAATGTGTCCTGGAGCCTCCCCACCTCCTTGAGAGGGAGGTGGGAGGGCTGTGCTTTCTCCATCTATATTAGTTTCCTGAGGCTCTTGTTATAAATTCCTGCAAACAGGTTACTTAAAACTACAGAAAGTTCTGGAAGTGTGAAGTCAAGGGTCAGCAGGGCCGTGCTCCCTCTGAAGGCTCTGTAGGGGCTCCTGCTGCACCTCTCTCTGGCAATTCTTTGGAGGACCTCTGAATACCACTCCCTCCGCCTCTGGGTCCCATGGCATTCTGTGTGTGTGTGTGTGACTTCTCCTCAGACAAGAACAACAGTCTCATGGGGTTTAGGGCCTGCACTAATCCAGTAGGACCTCATGTTAACTAGATTACGTCTCCAGAGGCCATGTTTCCAAATGAGGTCACATCTCCAGGTTCTGGTGGACATGCATTTTCAGAGAATGGTATTCAACTCAGGATACCTTTTTTTTTTAATAAAAAGAAATTGAGACACAGAGGAAGTCTATGATGAGCTAGAAACCATGACTCCCAGACTTTTTGGCCTGAGAGTGCAGGGCTTTCAGGAGAATTGAGAAGCACTCCTCCACTCCCACCATCTCCTGCTGCCAGACTCACTGGATTCCCAGGGCAGCTGTGACCGCCCTGAGATTCCTGAGGTCAGTCAGGGGATGCTTTGAGCCATCCTCCTTTAACAAATGGCTTGGTTTAGTCAAGGGGAAGGCTGCATGGTAACCAGACCCCTCCAATAGCAGCTTTGGTACAGGCTACACTCTACACACCTCCATGGTGCGTGTGGAGGAAACTACCTGGTGGCATTGGCCACGTTCCCTGGAAGGAATGGAAAGAATGCAGTCAGGAAGGCATTAGGATCAGCTCCTGAACCAGCTCGACCACTTTCCTAACCCTTAGTTCTTTCTTTCTCTAATCTGTCAGGTGTGTCTCTAAAGTGGAGGTCAAGTTGAATTCTGACGCACTGTTTTATATGGAGGTCTGCCACCTTCCACAGGGTACAGCTGAATTCTCACCACCTTAAGGTCTCAACTTCTGTAGAATGGGAATAATACCAAGACCCATCTATGTGAGGATTAAGCACCTGGCCCGTAGTGACAGTAGCCAGTGTTATTATTATCTAGCAAAGAAAACTACTCCAGGATTTTGAGTCCTTTGGGGTAGGTGGTCTTGGAGCTATATAAAGTACCCTAGGCAGGCACAGGAGGGTCCTCGGTACACCTGTGGTTGCCGGGTCGCCCAGGCTTAACCTGTCAACTCTGTTGGGAACCAAAGATTCAGAGTCGAGGGGTCAGTGTGGAGCTTGCCCTGGCTCAGGACGCACCTGTCTCTAGATGGAGCAGGGACTGCAACACCCCGGGTCCTTTCAAAGCCCACATTTACTTCTGTCAATAGGTTCAGTGAGTCCCAGGTACCTCCTTGGTTGGAGAAATTAGATTACCTTTGGGACATAAACTACTCTTCTCAGGCAACTGATTGAGACCTTCAATTGCCTATAATGAAGTAGAAATTCTCGGCGGTAGATGAAGGGTGACAGATTGAGGGAGAAAGACAGAAATTATATGTTGCCAAACGGATCTAACATGCAACGTTTCCATCCGAGTTTCTTATTTATGAAGCTTAAATGAAATGTTCAATAATTTACAACAGAATCGTCTTCTCCCAGAAAATGGCAGAGCAGAATTGAAAGCACTCCCTCCCAGGTCTCCTGCCTCAGGAATGGGGAGTGGGACTCGCTTCTAGGTGTGTGCCTGTTGCCTGCCTTTGATTGTTCGCAGCTTTCTTCCTGCGCTATCACTGAATTGTTGCTCTTTGCCAGCAAGTAAGATGCAGTTCTGCTGGAAAAGAAAATGTGTACAGGAGACAGACCCAGGACACCTCCATCAGCGCTCCCAGGACCCCTAGGTATTTCTTACTTTAAAGAACCCTTAGCTCTCCATCAACGCTTTCTTTATCTTTCCATCCATCTCCTGCAAGTGGCAGCACATAAATGGTCTGTTCTCTTTCTCAACCAAAGCTCAGAAAATTTATCTCATGGGAAGCCACCGTGCTCCATCCCTTATAGACTTTCCCGTGTTCCGGCTGGAGGTCGACATGTTCCCAGCTCTCCCCACACACCTTCCTGTGCTTCTCTGAACCCCTCAAGCATACAGGTCATCTGCTTGACAAATACTATTGAGGTCATCCTTTGTGGCAGGCACAAGGCTGTGGGCTGGGGATACCAGCAAGCTGAATGGTCACTGCCCTTGCCCTTCCGGGAATCAAAAGAATCTGAACTGAAAAAGCAAATTAATTATTTACTGAGCACCCATGAGAGGCCAAGCACTGAGCTACATGCAAAAGGTAATCTACAAGTATAATGAAGAAGAAAGGGAGGGAGGGAAGAAGGGGTGGAAAATGAAGAGGTTTTGGGTCTCTGATGGCAACAAACACGGCTATAATTACAACTTCTTGGAGATCACACACACGGCACCTTATTTAATTCTCCTGTGGCTCTGCTGGGAGGATTCTGCTCATGAGCAAGGGGCTCTGAAAAGCCCATTCCTGATTAAGATCACAAAGCTGGTGTTGGAGAAATCCAGGTTTAGAACCCAAGTCCCTTGTTCTTTCTGGTCCCTGTCCCTAAGAGTGTAATAGGTGGCAGTGGGGACTAGACAAAGTGACTTGGAATTTGAGAGTGATGGGGTACCACACTGTGGGCTGCTAAGAGCCACTGCAGAGGGGTATGGGATCAGTACAGGCTGAAGTTGGGCCTGAAAGCTAGGTGGAGGAAGGAAATAGAGTTCTCTGGGGGTCAGAATGGGGCAGGGTCAGCAGTAATAGGTAAGTTAGGGCTGAGAGCAACAAGAGGAGCAAAGCTCACCTGCACTGCAAGGGCTATGGTGACATACAGGCAGAACACCTCCCCTCCTGTTTAGGAAGCCTCCTTGCACACTTGCTGCTGCTAGTGGGGAAAACAGGGTGGTTTCGGGGAAAGGAGGCCTGAGAACGGTCAATGCTGTCTCTTGCTCAGCAAAAGCATGAGTGAGGTGCTTGTGGACTGCAGCCTTGGTTGGGCTCAGGTGAGCATGAAGAAATATGAACCCTTCCATCTCCCAAATCCCTGGGCTGAAGCTCAAGTCCCCTCTCTGGGGACAGGGATTGAGTTGGCCCTAGCACACTGGATTCCTGCCTACACAAAGAGGGACAAACTGAGAACCCTGTCCCAAAGGAGTTTGCAGTTGGTTTATTAGTTTCAATAGCAATTATGTTTTCAGTGGTTATTGTTAGTTTTCATGTCTGTCTCTTTACTGTAATCTTAGGTCTTTAAGATAAAGGATCTCATTTTTTTTTCAGCATGCAGTATAGTGGAAAAATATATATGAAGCAGAAGTAGCATAGTGCCCATGGTGGTAGGGAGATTTCCAAGAGAGGATGTCTGCACTGGGTTTTGAAGGGTCTTGTGGCCAGTTGGCTGGGGAGAGCATTCTAGGCAGAGAGAAGAGCATGTGCCAAAGTAGATCTATTAAAATCATTCATGAACCTAATATCAGACCCCACCACAGGCAAATTTCCCAGTGGTATAATTTGGGAAAACTAGAGATTTCATAGATGGAGAGATACTTGAAGACAGGGGGTCTTCTGACAGTCCCTGAAACCTCACCAGGTAGGCAAGGGTCTACTTTTTGGTTAAATGGAGAGCTAAGCTCCCAAGGTTCTTGCATAAGAAGGTGTTTCTGCAGGTTTCCCCGGATGAGGCAGGCTTTGGAGGACATCCCTTGCTCTTTGGGGTATAAATGATGTTCAAGTATCAAGAGGAGCTGTCCACTCCATCCTGATTCTAAACCCATACGTGTAAAGAAGAATAGCAATACCAAGCATTCTCAGAGGGAACTTTCTTGTTGCCAGTGAAATTAATGAGGATCATGGCTCATCCCTCCCCATCTGGCAGGCACACCCCATTTCTATAGACAAGGGCTTGCTCTAAACAAGTGCTCCTTGCTGAAGAAGCCAAAGCAGAAGCTGAGACATCCCCGGCTGACTTTTCTCCTGGGCCCGTTTCCCAAGGCTTTTAACACTAGAAGGGACAGGCGCCCCAGGTCCCAACTTCATGAGGAGGTGTGTGGACGCCTTCCTCTTCTGCTTGGGTCTCTGCAGCCCACTCCCACTGTCCTGCCCCCAAAGCCCCAGAAACGACCTTGTGTTTAGAGGGTGCCTCACCAAAGTGACCACTTGGGGTCACTGTGACCTCACCCAGAGGTGGCTGAACACACTCTGGCCCTGGTCTCAGGCCCAGCACCCTGACCCCTCTCAGGAGAGCCCACAGGGCACTGAGGGCCTGGTGCTGATGTGGTATTTGTGTGCCGCCATGAGGAAGTGCAGACAGGGTGCAGGGGAGCCCGAGGGCCTGGCTGGCAAGGGGACGGGAGTTCCTCGAAGAAGATCCTCCCATGGACAAGCATGGTCTCCTGCCTCTGCACCTTGAGGACCTCACCATGTCACCACCACCCCACCAGGGCCTGAGTGAACATGGAGAGTGATACACCTACCGGGATGTGGGCCTGCATCCACTTCCCCTGGCCACCAGAGGCCTGGAAGGTGGCCGATCACATCACCTGATAAAGACACGCTTGCACACACCAGCACGCACGTGTGCACAAGGCATGTGATTGCATGTGTGTGTGCATGGTACATGTATGTGAGTGTGAGTGCAGGTGGGGTGTGAGTGCAGCTGTGCCTGTGCCTTTGTGATTTGTGTATTTGAGAATGTGTGTGTGAGTGGTTGTGTGAATGTGCGTGTGTCTGTGTACGTGTGAGTGAGTGTGTCACATGTGGCTGGGCCTAAGTCTTCTTTCCTTGCAGTCCTGTGTTGTATTGCGATGTCTAAAGGGACTGAGGCCCTGGGTTTCTGAGCCTGTTGGTGGCTTTTCCGGTGAGCCACTTGCTGGCTGGTCAGGTGGCTGTTGGCAAGGCCCTCGAGAGGGCTTACAGGCCAGTTCATATCTCCTTGTTCTCTTGGTCCTGGGGACCCTCAAGGGTGGCCTCTGTGCATGAGGGAGGCCTGGGGAGAGAGCACAGGTGGCCGGGGGCACACTCCTCTGCCTTCCAGGTAAACATGGTAGCCACACCTGCCTCCTGGATGACCCACAGAGGAGTCACGGCAGGTGCAGTAACCAGAGTGGTGTTGACGACTTGTACCAGTCCCAGGCAGAGAGGTGCCTCCTGACCACCTTTCAGCCAGGGGCCCAGACCTCCTTTCTTGGCTGGGTCTCTATCCCCTTCCTCTGTCCACTAGGAGTCTTCCGTGAGGGCTGATTGTCTTGTGCTGCTACCCAGGCATCAGAGTGGTGACCACAGCCCCCGTGCCAAGTTCTAACCTGGAGGTGCCTTGGAGAACACTCAGGGACCCTTTGGAACTCCAGGTGTGGTTTACAGGCCAACTCCAGGTGTGGTACACCAACCCACCTAAGAGGCTGAGCCAAAAACGGACTCATCTTTAAGACAAGGAGCCATCAGAGCAGGGGGCTATCACGGCAGACACTGCGTCTGTTGTTCAGAAACAAGTTCATACTCCAGAGGGAACTGCTCAGAGAATGGTGGGGAAGATGTCTGGTGCTGCGCCCAGCTGGGCTCCGTGTGGCAAAGGGCAAGGTCTGTGAAGGGGGATTGGGGGGTGTGCTGCTGCAGTCCTTGGAATGACTCAGAGCCCACAGAGTCGGGGAAGGCCCGGATCCCACAGCAAAGGGCCAACGTGGGCAAGGCCTCTGCAGTCCAAGGGCCATCGGTGGTATTTTGTGGGAATAGAGGGGGCTGCGTGTGTGCCCAGAGGGGACCAGGCTGTCATGGGTCCCCGGCTGAGCTCTGTGGAGGAGAAGAACAGTACAAACTTCCCAATGGCTTCTGACGCTCCGTGTTAGCAGCTCTTCCCTGAACTCCCTACACACGGGACCTCATGGAAGATTCATGGTGACCCTGGGAGGTGAGTGGTGGGAGCCCTGCTTTACAGAGGGAGGAACACAGGCCGAGAGGTCTTGCTGGTGGCTCAAATCACCCGCAGGAAGGGGTGAGCTTGGATTTAAGTCCAAAGCCTGGGCTCCAAATGTGTCACCGGGCCCAGGGTCTCCGGAGACCTTGGGGGCTGCAAAGATTTCCTCTTTGGGGTACAAGCAGGGCTGGAGGGAGAAAGCTCTGCCGCTTGGAGGTCAGATCACACGGCTCCCTCCCCTCTTTCTCCTTGGGGCCCTTCCTTTTCTTCCTCCAGATACTGCTGCAAGAGAGCAAGTGATCTTCGTAGCTGGAGTCTCAGCCTGTAGCATGTCCTTGACTTGGTTTCCTTACCTACCTCTGATCCTTCCTTAAATCACATTAAGACACTTGCCTTCGTAAATCTCCTCAGCTGTGAGCTTCCTGAGATAATCGTGTGACACTGTGTGAGTGTGTGTGTGTGTATATTTGTGTGTGTGATTTTTCGTCAGCCCCACTCTAGCACAACATACTAACCTACCTAAACCCACTACTCATAATAATTTACCATCCCTTAGAGCCTGTGGCATTTGAATCCGGACCGTCCCTCACATTTGGCTTGTTTGTGGGAAGCAGCAGCGGTGGGAGGAGAACCTTCGGACCGGGACTCAGAAACCGAGTCCACTCACAGACCAGTCCACTCACAGCTGCGGACTTGCTAGCTCTGTGAACCTGGCAAGTGTCCAGATTCCCAGGGCCTCCGTTTCCTCATCTATAAAGTGGGGTTGCTAACAGGACCATCTCATGAGGTTTCTGCGAAGATGAAAGAAGCTATCACTGTGGCCAGGAGGTCTGGGATTTCAGCTCAGGAGGAAAACAGCTTTGATTGTGCCGCCCTGGTTTGAGGTCCACTCTTTGCTGGGTAACTTTTGACTAGGAAGATGGCAGACACTTCTGCAGGAAGCCAAGACCAGTCAACAGACTGTCTGGGAACTCTCGGGCAGCCCGGGCCAGGACCGCTCAGCAGTGCCTTCATCAGGACCCAGGCCCTGGGTTTGCAGTCGCCCTCCCTGGGCAAGGTGTGGCAGCAGGCTCTCTTGGATGGGTGTGCTGAAGGGCCCAACAGGAGTCAGCACTGTTCTCCAGCCAGGTGTGGTGGGCAGTGGGCACTGCCTTAGTCCACACCACCACTTCTCTTGTTTAACCCCAGCATGGTCTCCTGACCAGCCTCTGCCCTTGACCTTCTCTGCATACGGCAGTAATTACATCACCTTATTTACAACCCTCAATGGCTCCTCATGGCCCTCTAGAATAAACCCGAGTTTTTACAGGGTATATAAGGATGACCAGGCTCTCACCCTGTCACTGGCCTCTCACACTCTATGTTCCAATCAGAGTAAACTTTTGCAGCTTCATTCACTCATCCCTTCAAGAAATACTGCTCTAGGACCTAGACTATTCTAGATACCGTAATGGACCCTGGGGATTCAATGATGGGAAAAAGAAAATGTGGTCTATCTTCCCTGGAGCGCCAGGTCTAGGGAGAAGCTCAGCTGTCAAAGAGTCATGCCCACAGGTCAGAGGCATCTTGAGCTGTGCTGAGAGCGAGCTGGACAGCATGATCTGGCTTCTTACAAAGTGGCATGTGAACTGGGGGCGGGAGGGAAAGCCAGCGTGGACTAAGAGCAGAGCAGAGCACCACGGCAGGAAGGACAGCACGTCCAAGGGACTCCCAGACCCATGGGCCAGGAGCAGAGAGGGCACCAGGGGATGGGGAGGGGGCGGGACTTGAGAAGGCAGGGGACTGGGCAGGGCAGGCCAGCCATGCTTAGGGCTTTAGTGTGCCCTGAGAGCAATGGGCAAACACTTTGTGTTACCTCAGGAGGGTTTTACTTGGAAATTAGATATCGATACACTTTGTGTTACCCCATGACCATCCAAAGGTATGCACAATGAGTTGGCATCACCAAGAAAGTATTTTGGAAAGACCCTCCCATTTTGATGGATTGGATGAGCCTGAAGAGGAGGTCCCTGCAGAGGTTCAGGGAAGGGATGAGAGTAGCTCAGTGGGTTGGCTTTGGGCAGAGTGGCCCGAGAGAGAGCTGTGAGGGTGTAGGCTGAGCAACCATTGTGCCCCCAAGAGACAGCACTTACCTGTGAGGGTGGCTCTGGTGGTTGGACCAATGCTTTTGGGGACCAGCACCTCATGGTATTGCTCCCCAGCCAAGGTGCTGTAGACGACCTTGTATTCCTGAACTTCTGCCTCGCTGTTATCCCACTCAAGGTCAAGGCTGGTTGCTGTGCGGGAGCCGACTCGTAAATTCTTGGGGGCATCAATCTCTACAAACAGACAGACATCACCAACGTCACGCCCGGTAATGTGCCTCTGTGGTGCACCTGGAATTTTAAAAATCTTTGTGGCGAGACCCCACGCTTCCTGACCCTCTGCCTCACATTTGAGTGAGCTCTGTTTCTGCCCCTGGCTTTTTGGTCTGTCCCAGCAAATTCCTTGGTCTGGTTGGAGGGTTTTACTTGGAAATTAGACATCGATACACTTTGTGATACCCCATGACCATCCAAGGGTTCCAGAAACTTGGAAATGACCCAACTAATATCACAGGCTCCAAAACAAAGCAAAGGGAACCCCAGTAGGAGAAAACCAGGGATAATCCTCAAGTGATTAAAATGGAAGAGAACAAAATCGGGTCTGAACATCAAGCAAAGGGAGGAGGGTTGATTTCAAGCTGCCCTTCTGGAGTTTACGAGTATAGAAATAGCTGAAAGGTTTACAGATTGGAAAATTAAAACACAGACAGGGGAAGTGAGGTACTGGGAAGAATACGGGGTTTGGAGTCAAGCTTCAGTTCGATCTCCAGCTCTGACACCTGCAGGAATGGGTCTCACTGGGACTTGATGGCCACTTCTGTAAAAGGAGCAAATGATGCCATATTCCAGTTGCCGTACGGTTAGACAATACATGTCAAGTTGGTTGCCTGGTGCCTGGTGTGAAGATAGGTGTCCAGACCCTGGGCTGGCTTCCTGTTGCCTCCAAAACTCTTCCTGGTTCCAACAGTATTGCACCCCAATGCTCACTCTTAGGGTTCCACAAATTCCAGTGCAATAAAGGGACTATCAGCTTCAGCATCTCTCCCACAACCCCAAGGAGCTGCTTCTCTCCCTGAGAACTGACGGTCTTGTCAGACTCATTTGGGGACCTCTAGGTGTGACCCTGAAAAACTGAGACCCAAATTTAACTTGGAGCAGACCAGTCCTTTGTTCCAAGCAAACCTCCCCTGGGCTGCTGTAGTCTGCAAAAGCAAAGCAAGTATCCTGCATCCTCTTGCAAAGACGAGAATGCTGCAAATCCACCCCAAAGCAGAGGCTTGGGAGTGAGAAGTATTCTGTTTAGTGATGTAAATTGGGTGAATCTTTTAGCAGATTTATGCCTCTGCAGCTTGTTTTCTGAGAACTGTTTTTCCAGTCAAAGTACTTTAGCAAAGGGAGCTGTGCATGCCTGATGTGTTGTGTGTGCTATTTCTCTAGCAGTTGGGTGGAGGAGCCCGTGGGGGGATGTGCCTGACATCATGGCCCTGAGTGTCATGGGCGGGGTGTGGCACCTGACCTGAACTGGGGCGCGAACAGCTGGGTTAGGGTCAAGGTGGAGACCTACACCTAGTGCTCTTACCTTGGAAACATCCCCTTTTTATAAGGACTCAGAGAGGACTCACTGCCAACAGTTCTGGGAGGTTTCTTCTTAGGGCTTTTGCCCTGTGGATGGGGGCAGAGTTTTCTTGAAGGGAGTAGACACTCCCAATGCCAACAGCCCTAAAAGAGGTCATTCCTGGAACAAGAGCTTGGGCAGAGGGGAACCTACTTGTGGTCTCAGGGTCTGGAGGCCTGGCTAGGAGGGGAGGCTGAGAGGCACCCCTCTAGGCGGGGAACAGAGCTGATCTCTAATGCATCAGCAGGCCTGGGGCGAGAGGCAGAGGTAGATGGCTAATGGGGGCTGTGGAGGGACTTGTGGCTATGAATTCTAAAGCACAGGCTAGATCCCATGATTCTGTTCTGAAGCCTTCCCTGTTGCTCCCATCATGAGCTCCCGAACCTCCCTGCAGGCCCGCTGGCCTGGCCTGCCTGCTCCCATGCATCACCCTGTCCTGCTTCTACCCTATCCCTGGGGCTCAGCTGTCTGCCTTCTTTCTACTGTTGAAACACATCAAGCTAATTCCTACCTCGGGCCTGTGCACTGGCTGCTGCATCTGCCTGAAGTGAGCTCCAGATCCCTGAATGACTTAGTCATTGAGATCTTAGTTACAATGTCACGTTCTCAGAAAGCCTTTCCAAACGGCTGGATCCAGCGGATCCCCTCCACGTCATCCATTTCACTTCTCATCACAGAGCTCACCATCACAACAATCTTGTACATTTCTTTCCTTTTCACTGGCAAGTTTCCCCTAGGAGTATGCCATGCATGTGATCCAGGTCTTGTCTTTTTTGTTCTACACCCTTGGGTCCATCAGATGCTCAATAAATACACACCAAGTCACTGAATGAACACCATCAGCTCTGTTTTGTTGGCTAATTCAAAGCCTCTGCAAAAGTCTTGTCAGCTGTTCAGCCACGGGGCTTGGGATGCTTGGGGTGAGGTGGTTCAGGGAGAAGAGCTTTGGCTGAGGACAGCTGGTGTTGCAGGGGCAGGAAGCCCCCATGTCCTCTGCCATCCACGGTGAGAATCTTGGCTGGGAAGGTAAGTACTGTCCTGGTTGAACTTGGGAAAGAATTTCTATGAGAATCCCAGAGTGGAATCACTGAAAAGCAGATGGGGCTTGAACCTTCCTGGTGTTCCCATTAGTTTCCCAGACATGGTACTCCAAGTTGGATATTTTAATAGAAAATTATTGTCTAAAAGTCTAGAATCGAGGTGTTGGCAGAGTCGCTTCCTTGGGAGGGCCGTGGGAGAGCGTGGCGGCCTCTCTTGGCTTCTAATGAGTGGCCAGCCATCTTTTGGTGCTTCTATCTCTGCTCCCATCTTCAGGTGGCGTTTTCTTTGTGGGCATGTCTGTCTCTGTCAGAAGTTCCCCTTTCCATAAGGACATTGTCGTATTGGGTTAAGGCCACCTCAATGACCTTATCTTAATTTGCCTAGAACCTATTTCCAAATAAGGTCACATTCATATGTACTAGGGCTTCGACACCTTTTCAGGAGACGTAGTTGAACCCATATCAGCATTAAAGAGAATTCCAGAAGCATTTAGGTCACGTGCACCCGTGGCTGAACTCTGTGGCTTCAGGCTTATGCTCAAAGATGCCCCCTACAGCAACAGTCCAGGGGTGGTGGCGCCCCCTTGAGGGCAGTGGAAGGCCAGGCTGCTGAGGGTGGGGATTCAAGAGACTGGGCTCCAGATTTCCTGGGTTGGGGCTGGCTTCTCCCTTGCCACTGGCTTGGGATGCTGCCATCCAGAGCCTTTTCATTTTTCAGAGCAGCACTAAGACCCAGGCAAATATCCCACTCACCATGCAGGAAGCAAATCTCTGTTTTAATTGCCTGTGCAATTAGTGCGCTCCTAGTGTCGAAGCCATCACCTGGAAAAGCACTTTGGTTAATTTGAATTTAAGCGGAGTTCTGGAATGACTAAGGGCCCTGCCGCGAGGGCCCGGGTACCCTCTCATCATTCAGCTGGCACATGCCAACCCCGAATTTGAGAGTCTGTCTGCAAAGCTATTTGCGGCTTCTGGCCTCTTCTCCCCTCCCCTGCTCCTGAAGCAGAGGGGAGTGGGTTGGATGGACAGGCCGAGGCTGCACAGAGAAGGCAGCCAAGGCTGCCACTCACCAGGCACCGGAAATGGGAGAATGGAGCAGAGGCGGGCAGCAGGGAGCTGAACCCCGGGGGCCCTTGGAGGCGGGATGTAATTGTCTTGATTGGAATTTTCCTGGGCCACGGGCCAATCCTGCTTCCGTCTTGTTGACCTGAACATCAAGAATTTGCTTTTCACCACGCTGCTCACTGCTCCACAGCCCTTTTCTCCTGTTTTGCCTCTTCAAACTCCTTATCAGAGCAGAGCACAAAGAAACCACTTTCCAAACACAAACTCTCCTGAAAGTAACAAAAGAATGCAGCACTGCCCAGGGCAGACACCACCATCCTGAGCAGGTGCTGTGGTGTGTGCGTGGTGGGGGTTGACCTTGAATTCTCAGACTGAGAATATCACAGGGGATATCACAGGTCATCTTTCCTCACACTCTGCCAGGAATATCTTAGTTAAATGAGGGAGAAGAAGGGAAGAGAAATGGGCAGAATTCGGCTCCTCTTTTCCAGGGAGAACATTCAGTCTGGGGTTGTGTTAAAAAAAAAATTACCACTGGCCACCCGCTGGGTGAGGGGGTGGAGTCTGGGTAAAGGATAGATAACCTGGAAGTTCTCTTGCAGAATGAAGTCCTGCCTTCTGCAGCTCGCCAGTGTCTACATTTGCTTCTTTTTAAGAAGCAAAATCTTCTGCGTGGAAAGAGCCCCATTGAAAGACTCCTGCTTCTCTGTCACTAGGGAGGGTGGCCTTAATGGCCAGCTCTGCAGCAGAGCCTGGACACTGTCCAGCACTTCCCTCTCTTGTGGGATGGGCTGCCCCATGGACCAGGTCTCCTCCCATTCCTCCTTGCTCTAAGTCCTAATCCATGTAGCCCCCAGGTCTGCCACATGGACAGGTAGCCCAGGTCCACAGCGCCCATCAGCTTGCAAATCTAGCTGGCAGTCACACTTGGCTGCACGCTCCAACCTGGGGAACGTTTTGGTGTCTTTCTCTCTTATTCTTTGCCTTATTTATCAATGGCTGAAACCCAGGTGGAGCAGGGAGTGCTAGCTATTGAGCCTCCTTGAAGCCCCTGGGCTTGTCCACCCCGTGACAGGATCTCAGGCCACAACCCAAGGCAAGATGCTTGAAATAGTGATTCTTCTACTGTCAGATGGTGCTGCTTCTTGGATCCTACAGATGGCATCAGTTTCCTCGAATCCCTGGGACCCCTTAGAGTTAGCAGAGTACCTCGACATGTTCCCCAAGGCAGAGAGGCCGATGCCCATCCTGATTAACGAGGCTCAGTGACCAAGCTGATCACAGAGCCTTGCTGACTGAGCCAGGGTGCCAGGAAGCTGGTCCCTTGGGTGGTTCCTGTCTTTCTTGCCCACAGTTGGCCAGACTAATGGGCACTGAGAGTTGGAGCACGTCACCTGAGCTCTGGCCCTTCCCGAGTGCTGGTGAAGCTCTCTGACCCTAACAGCCTTGGGAAGGGGGCTGTGGTCACCATGGCGGTTGGGAGGCGTCATGTGGGCTTCCAGTTTCCTGTCCCTGGAATCAGGGCTTGGGTTGGCCCCATGCTGGTGCTTACACAGGACGAGTCACAGCCCTGCATTCGGCCTGTGGTGGGTAGGGTTGGGCTTTGAACCACGCCGAGGTGCTCCACTGTGGCCATGCAGCCATTACAGATTTAGAGAATGACTACAACAATATCCACAAATGGCTATGAAGCATCCTGAGCAAGACGCACCTTTCCCGAACAATCCCCAAGTTGTCATTTGGGCTAGCACGACGGATGCCCCGATGTCTTCAAGATAAATGTGTCATTTTACAAATGTCATTTTGCAAACCTCAGGGACTCATCGGAGGACAGGACTCTGTCGCTGGTCTGGCTGGCAGAACGAGGATCAGAACCTGTTCTGCTCACTCTGGTGCCTGCTTTTCCTTTGTGCTGCCTTGCCCCAGACCACTCCCCTCCTTCTGGCACTGACCACCCCACTCCTTTCTGCTCCTCTTGTGAGGACTCCACCAGCTGGCTCCCCCCACCCCGTGCTCCTCTTCCCACGGCAGCCTTACCTGTTGTGAACTCGGTGGTGGTGGATGCGCTCTCGTTGGCCCCTCGGACCGCACTGACCGACACCGTGTAGCGGGCGCCGGGCCGCAGCGCTTGCACCGAATACTGGCTGAGGGGAGGCTGCAGCCGGAAGGTGGTCTTCCCGCCTTCCCCGCCCACCAAGCCGTATTTCAAGAGAATGAAATCAACTTTAGCTCGAGGTGGGGTCCACTCCACAAAGGCCACTGTGTCAGAGACATCTCGAACCAGGATCTGCGTGGGCCCATCAATGACTAAATGAGAAGGATCAGATAGAACAAAACGTCACCCGTGGGGCATAAGCCTTTGGCATCTGCCCCCTCCTTCTGGTGTGAGCTTGCTGAAAGAGGGCCTGGTGTGAGCCTCCCATTTTGCAGACAGGGAAAGTGGGGAACACACTTTGGCAGTAGGACTCAGTTCTCCTGATGTTGGTCCAGTTCTCCCTTTACCACGCTGTAGCTTCTGGGGCTGGCAGTTCCCAGACTGGGAATGGAAGGGCACTTCCTGGTCTGAGAGATTCAGACCAATTTCTTTCTGCAGGAAATGGGACAAGGACTTGAGGACCAAGCTTCCGGTGCCCAGCTCCCACCTTCAGGGAGCCCCTAGGAAAAGTCTGTGGAGTGACCACCTGTCTAAACATCTGAGACTTAGACCTAGTTGTCAGAGGTCACTGTGAGTGTTCCAAAGCTGACCCTGTCCAGCTGTACTCACACCCAGACAACCCAGTGGCTGAGACTGTGCCAAACCCAACAGATGTGTGCCTTTGTGCCCAGGAAACATGCCCTCTGGGAAGACACAGTCCTCTGGGCCATTTTTGTTTTCTCCGCCAGGGCTTGGATTTTTCTGAGAAGGAAGGACACTGCAGTTACACCTAGGTCCTCAAGGTTTCCAGCGAATGTCCCTCATGAGCCCTGGCCTCTGGCACCAGGTAGCTGAGGGGAAGGCTGGGAAAACTGGCTGGTCTCCTACAGGGCACAGCATCGCAGCTCTAGCACCCGCTGGGTGCTGTTCCTATTGAATTATTCTGGGAGAGGGCCAGGGAATGTAGAAGGGGAATAGCAAGAGGGAGAACCTGGGAGAAGAGAAGATTACTTCTCAGCTCCTCGTGGGATGTCTGCAGGGCTAATAGCTCTTTCCTAAGCATTACTCACTACCTGCAAAAGAGGAGGCCCAGACTCCAGATTTGCATTTGCTGTGTGACCTCATTGCTCTGGTTTGATCCGATCAATGTTGATATTCCCCAAGGATCTGGAATTGGCACCAAATTGACTCTGGTTCTCCAAGCAGCCTGTGTGGGACCATGAGCTGGTGTGGCCATTGTCTATCATATTCATACAGAAATAGAAACATCGGATGGCATGGGGCAGGGAGGAGGAGAGGAGAGGAGAGGATTGAAGAGGGGACAACAGGGGAGGGGAGATGAGGGACCATATGGAACTTCTAGAAAGCCCCAGAGTAACTTCCTGCCATTCCATTTTGTCATTTGAGTCTTTCATTAGGCCCTGATGTGCTTTTGACCTTGGGTTTCTATGAAACACCCTATGTCCTTCCAGAAACTTCTCTTTAGCTTCAGGTAATTCAGGTACATTTTCCTTGCTGGTTAGCTGAGGGTCTTGACTGAGCCTTGTTTTATAATCAGCCCACACTGGTCCACCTTCTGCTCTGACTCCAGATACGAGGTCTCTCTCTCAGCTGTCACGGAGTCCCTTGACTTTTCAAAGCTGGGCTGTCCCATCGGCACCACGCCCTCTTTCTGGATCTAGCCCACTGCTGTTTTTGTATTAAGCAACTTGAGGATTTTGGGTCTAGCATCTGGCACCAGCCAAAATGAAAATCACCAGACCACTTTGGTGCCAAGTGGCTGGGAGATCAAATGAAGTCCTGTCTTTTATATTTAAGGTAGTCACAGGACTGAACAGAAAATACCCAGACTGCTTCTTTTCAGCATGCTGCACTTGGTGGTTTTAAGTAACCTGGGCCTTTTTAACTTCGTTTAATTTAATTAAAAGATGGAGGAATGGCCTCCTTACTGTGGTATAAGCATAATGGAAAGAGACGCTTAGTCAACGGGTTTTGAGTCGATGAAATGAATGGGGGAGCCTCTTCACCATGAGAAAGGGGGAAACATTTCAAGGAGCTGGAGCTTCTAGAAGAAAAAAAAAGAAACTCAAATGACCACATAAGGCTTTTGTCCTTCCACTCTTGGATACAAAAAAATCCCTGACCATAATGGAGTGACCATATTAGACTGTGATTATGTAGCACAGAGGGCTCTAGCTGCAGGAGGTCTCCTATTTGCATGCGCTAAATGGCCTGTCCTGAAGAAGCCAGGCTGAGTGCAGATGAGGACTCAGAGCTCCACCAGAAGGGGCTGGTGTAGGTCAAACCTCAACAGAAGGAAATAATTAAACAATCGCTTCCTAAAAACAGCAGACGGGATTGGGAGCTGGCCATCTTTTCTGTTGTCACCCTTGGATTCTGCCCTTTGGTTGGTCACTTGGTAGTAATGTCGCATTCCAATCAAGGAAGGATCATCTTGCTTTCAATTTAGTCCCAATTTCTAAACAAACACAAGTTCTACTCAAAACGTGAACTGGAATACATGTTTCTCATTTTTCATTTTTCCCCCCATGGCTCTGTACATGATGTCAAAATATTAACACTAGGACTTTTCTTCTTGATTGAAAAAGATCTGCCTGGATTTACTATGGATTTCTAGATCCACATTTTAATTTTAATCTTAAGGGACTTCCAGACCCAGAAATACTGCAAAAATGTGGTTTGAATGTAAGACTAAGGCAGGATAGGACTCCCTTCTTTAAGTACTTTCAATGCTTCAGAAGACTAATATTCAATTGTAATGTTCTCTCTCCTCTGTGAACCATCCTTTGTCTCCTACAAATGCTTTTTTTTAAAACATGAAATCACAAGAATGGCCTGGGGACCGAGAAACAATCCTTAACAGAAGTGAAGAATCTGCACTTGTCATCAAGTGTCAAGGCTTCAGGTTGCAGCATAACCCTGGGGAACTGAGCGGTGGCCTTAGCCTTCTGGATATTTCTGCAGAGCACTTTTGGATTTTAGGCTATGGGGTTTCATATTTGGACTAAAACAGTAGTTTGAAAGCCTTTTTTTTTTTTAAGTGAAACTTTTTTTTTTTTTTAAACAGAACATTTTAAATGGCTGTTCAAAATACAAAACAGATCAAAGTGGAGCTGCCCTGGTTGGAGGCATCTCAGAGGAAGTAATTAGAGGTGTGGATCTCCACCTGATCCTGGTCTCAAGGCACAGGTGGTGGAACCCTGGGGCACCAATGGAACACAAGCTAATGCCATCAGAGTTTTAATCAGTGCTTCTCAGACAGAGTACAGGCCTCAGCACCTGAGGTTCCATGGTTCCAAGAAGCAAAGGATGAATCACTAATCTTCATGGTCTTATTTCACAGTGCTGTGGTTCCCTTTCCCAGTCAATTCAATATTTTGTTCTGGACCTAATATTGTCTTGCAAGGGTGACACTTTCTGTTTATGAAAAATAAAACTGTATCAATGTTCACCTATCTCGGTGTTTGTTACTGACAAGGAAAGCTGCCTAGCCTGGGCCACAGCTCTCCCAGCAACAAAACTAGAACAAGAAAATGATCCCACAGACTACATTGAACTTTTGAGGAAAAAAAAGATATTGTGTGAAGGCACTTACATTTGCATCACAATTGCTCATTTTGGGCCTTGAAGTTGAACACCCTTTGTTAGTTCAGGAAACAATAAGGCAAATAGAATAGAGTTAACCAATCAATCCTTAAAATATAATAACCTTGAAGGAGATGAACTGTGGGGATGAACTAATAAGCAACTTAGGTTGTCACACTGAAAAGTGACCCAGCTCTACGTACTGCTTTGACATGGTTTGTCTCTGACTACTTTTACTTCCAAGCCTGGTTTCTGGGTATATCTTTATATACTAAGTGTTAAATACTCACTTTTATTAAAAACATTGAGTCTTCATTTGGACCTACAAATGTAAAAATCCTGGCAACTCTTTCCCCATTTTGCATGTGTCCCCTTGGCTCTGAGTCCGCAGAGCAAATACCTCAGTGAATACCTCTGATGAACTGAAACCACCCCACGGGCCACAGCAGCTCCAGGGTCATCAATGAGACTTTGGCCATCCTCAGATAAGGATCAACCAGATCACAGTCCCGCCAAGACTGCCTGAGTATGCACATGTCTGGTCCCCTTTGTCTATATAGCTTGGCAGTTCATGTCAGTAACTGCTGAAAATATGTCTTCCTCGTCTTCCCAGGATGGCCATCCTAATTCACGTTCCTTCCCTGCTTCTCACCATGACTTTTGTGGATTGGTTTTTGGGTGGATGGCCAGATATGATTTGTTGGGATTCCCCAGAGTTAGGCCTCTGGATTAGGACTCTAGTAACATTAGCGGCATAGTACTAATCACTTCTTATGCTTTATCTAATTTAATCCTCACACTGACTCATGGACATACTATTGCTCCTCAGTTGTAAAGCAGGTTGACATCTGAGAAGGTTTGGGTGACTTTCTCCAAATCTTACACTAGGTGAGATGAGTCTTTGTCATGAGATTTTGGTTCCAAAGCTCTAAGGGGTTAACATACGAGGTCTCTTGGTGAGTAATGAGGATCAGAGAAATTGCCTGGAGAATCTCGACAGAGAGTTCCTTAATGGAACATGGATTTCTATGCTTGCAAGAAGAGCAAAAGGAGTATTGTCAGCTAAGTGTCTGGTAGAGTAGACCCATCTCCAGGCCCCCTGATCACTCAGCTCTGGCAGGAACCCAGCGGCTGTTTGCCTCCCCACATCTTGGGTGATTCTGCAGTTCTTGTTCCTGGGTGACCTACAACTGGAGCACTCACCAGTGGAGACGCTGGCCGAGGTTGGGGGGCTCCGGGCTTGTTCTTTCAGGGCCACCACATTGACAATGTATTCCTCCCCAGGCTTTAGCCCAGTCTGGTTAAAGGAGGTGACGTCACTTGGAAGCTGAGCAATCACTCCTCCTTCATTGTTCTGGAGAGCGAGCAGGGAAGGAGCAGAGAAAGGAAAAGAGAGAATCACCAGGAGTGAAATCAGCGAAAGAAGGACAGGGAACACTGACTTGGGAACTGGAAAGTAAAAACGGGGGCTACTTCTACTTCCTCCAGGCTGACAGAGGAGAGTCCGGGGCTAGGAACAACTCCCAGCAGGCTCAGTGAGAACCGATTTCAAGAACATTTCTTTGGCTTCTCCTGAGTTTTTAAGTTAGCCAATAAAAATTAGTCATGAGGCGATGCAGATTGGCTCTTGCCAAAGACTGAATGTTCAATGGTTACAGGTAACATCCTTCATTTTTTTTTTTTTGTCATTTAGTGTTACGAGCCTGCCTTTGGCTGTTTAGAAGAGTACAGTTGTGTGTAAACATCTTTATAATATCCACAACGTATTTCAAGCTAAGAAATTCCCAGATTTTTTTTAATGAGCTGGGGCTGTTATTTGGCTATATCTGGAATTTCTCATGGTGTTACAAAGGGTGAAAATCTATCAGTGTCATGTTTCCACCTCACCCAGATGAGTTAAGACTCAGAGACATAATCGTGAAGTACCAAAAAAAAAAAAAAAAAAGAAAAAAAGAAACACGAAACAAAGAAAAATACAAAGGAGAGTGGTAGAAGACAAATAGGTGGAAAGAAAATGAGAAAGGAACTAGATGATGTTGGGTCCAGAATCTAATATCTATCTACCATCTACCTATCATCTATCTACCTATTATCTATCTATCATCTATCTATCAATCAATCATCTGTCATCTATCTATCTATCATCTACCTACTATTAATTAGGTTTTCCATGTGTGTGACCTTGGAAACAGAGGGGACAAGAGGGCCCCCTTTGAGACACTCCCCTTCTTCCCTATTCTTTCATCTCAGTTTATGTCACCTCGAGTTCCCTGTACGTCACTTATAGCCATACTTTTGTAAATGAACGTGAAGAGGTTATTCTCTGCTGCCATGCATTTGATCTTGGAATGCCCTGGTCAGCCCCTTTCATTTAGAGTTTCACATATTGTATGTAGAACAGGAGAATCTGGCACGATTTTCTTTTCTTGCTTGTGCAGCAGAGTAACATGATCTTTCTGTTTTCTTTTAAACTCAGTTGCTTTCCATTGATCCTTGGCCATTTTAACTCAGATCATTTATACAATAATAGATTTGCATAGAACGACTGTTAGGAGCATCTGGCTTGCCATGATAGGACTACATCCCCAGAAGACGTTTGGTGGGCAGAGCCCTGGAGCAGGGAGCTGAGACTAAGGTTTTTGTCTTAAGCCTGGTACTAATTAGGGATCTTATGTCATCTAAGTTCTCTGAATCTTCATCTCTACACACTAAACTAAATTAAACTAAATGTGAAATGTGGGGTCTTAACTCTGCGAACTTGGAGATCCTCTGAAGCTCCAACAGTCCACGAAGTCAAGAATGTGGTGGTAAGAGAATGGCAAGATCATAGTCTAGTTCCCCCCAATGTGTCATTGGCCATTAAACCTGAAGAAGTCTGAAAGGTGCTCTTTCCTGTTGAAGGACAGGGACAAAGGGAGGGATATGGCTGAACTTTGCCCCCTCAGGTGTGGTGGTCAGGGACAGCTAGGCAGGCGTCACGGCAAGCCGGAAACGGTTTTAGGATTAATAAAGAAATAAGTAAGCTGCTTTACCTAGTAGAGAGGAATCTTAGGGTACTTTTAAACTCACAGACTAAGCATGTAATTTGCCTAATTAATAGGTTATAACTTCATTCTGAGTAACTGGGAGAACCAGGGCATTTCTGGGAGGCCTCTAACCTCTGGGGACCCAAGCCACATGGGGTGACAGTTAGTCCATCTGTTTGTACAGAAAGAATCCGTGGAACCCGAAGCTGGTACCATTTGGTCCCCGCTTTTTGATGGTCCAGTTTCCTAGCCACTGACATCGGACTCTCCAAACCCTGGAAGTGTCTCAGCAGGAGCTGGGTGGCTTTCCAGGTCCCCCCTGTACAGACCAGGGGCTCTGCTCATGTCCTCAGCTCTTGGTGAAAGGAGCCTTCTGCAGCCCAGGCACCCACTTAATGCCCTCTCAGGTCTCTACTGGCCTGGAGAGAGACCCTGGGCAGTGCTGCCCTGCTGCCCTGCTCCCCAGGTGAGGCCCGAGCCGAGGGAGGCTGCCGGGCATCCTGGAGGGCAGCCGGTGTTACCTTTGGGATGAAGCTGATCTCCCACCCATCGAAGGAGAACGAGAAGGGCTCCCACTGCACCTCCACGGTCGTTTCCGTAATAGTCTTGAATTGCAGCCCTTGAGGAGTGGAGAGATCTGGAACATAGCAATGTGGGTGACAATGTCACGGCTGTCCCTGGCAGGGACAGAGAGCAGTGCCTGGCTCTTGTCTTGTGAACCCCCTCTATGCTCTGGGTGTGGTGGCCTGTGGCAGGACCGCCTCATCCTACCGCAGACACAGTGTGTCCTGGTGCAGATGGGCGCACTGCCCTGGGGCTCTGGGGCTCTGTGTTGGTGCAACACAGGAACACACTTGACGAATGCAAAACTTTTTTTGTGCTTTCTATTACATAATAGAAACTGTTAATGTTAAATATAAAAGTCATGTTTTCCTTTCCTTACTAATGTGATAAATCTCGGAATGGAATAAAAAGCCTTTTTCGGAGAACTCGAACTCTATCTTTGGAAGCGGTACAGGATTCCTGGGAGGCAGTATTGTGCTAAGCCCAGTGCTCCCACCTCGTTCACAGGGAAAGGAGGCAGAGAAGGTTTGGTTAAAGATGTGGAGCTTCAGAAGGAAGCCCGGGGTTCTTCTCCTGACCATCTGATGTGCACTGAACGTATTTTAGGGAGCGCAAATCCCTAAATTTAGGGCAGTCTGAATTTTCATTTTGTGTACACAAGCAGAACAAAGGCGTACACCAGCTTTGCTCTTATTTCACTTTCTCCAAATTTCCTCCAGCTGCTCCTTCCATATTCTCCTCTCCCTCACTCCCTTCGGCCTCACTTGTCTAACTTTTGGCTCTCTCTTAATCTCCTCCCTTTCTCCCCCCAACCTTTCCCCCCAGCACATACACACACACATGCACGGGTTCAGTGGGGTGAAATATGCTCGTCCTAATGGAGTTCCAGTTACCAGCCCTGAAATATGACAGCACAACTTCTCTCAATTCTCCAGGGCTCCGCTCCCATTTCAGCTTCACCTCTCCTGGGCTATTCCCGTTGGAAAATTGACAGATTCTCATCTTTCCCATCAGGAAGCTTCCTGGCTGATAGGCGGGGCTGGTTCTGAACCCACTTGAAGGCATGTCAGGCGCCTGTACATGATTTTTGTCCTTGTCACCTGGGAGCGTGCCTGCAGGGATGCCTTGAATTGGCACCACCACCACCACAGGGGCTGGAAACCTCATCAGTGCCTGTACACGTGGATCAGAGTGGGGACACCTGGGAGCCGGCCAGCACTGGGGGTGGTGACTCATCCTGGAGCAAGGTGGGAAAAGCAGCAGATGGTGACCTGCCTCCACGGATCACTGCAGATATTTAAAACTAGTTCACAGGCACCAGAGGAATTGGGGGAAAAAAGGTCAAATATAAACAGATAATTATAGGCATATTAACAGAGTCGGCATTTGTGAGAGTCCAGTATTATCCCAGGACTTGGGTGACCTGAGAAGCAAGGGGGCAAGACGATTCTGCAATCCTGCCCTGCTGCTAGTCCCTGTCCTTGCCTCTTTCTAAGCTCTGCTCCCGTCCTCAGGCTTCGGTGAAGCCTTCAGGGCCAACTCTTTATACCTTGACCTTTTGTTTTTCCTCTGGAACTTCACGTCCTAGAGCCTTAACTTTCACAACTAAAGTGAGCCATGAAGATACGGTGTTATATCCAACTTGGTAGCGCCTGCTTGCCATCCAGGCGACTTGGGAGGCTGAGGCAGGAGGATTGAAAGTCCCGGGCCAGGCTTGGCAGCTTAGAGACACCCAGTTTCAAAGTAAAAATGAAAAGGGCTGAGGGGTAGAGCTTGCCTAGCATGTGTGAGGCTCTGGGTTCGATCACCAGCACCACACACACACACACGCCAAGATGTTCTGCTAAACATCCTAAAGAAATGCTGCTACCTCTGTATGAGAAGCGGGTGTTGTCGCTGTGGTTTTAAACAAGGAGTTTTTCTTTCACTCTGCTATGCACTTGCCCTGGGGAACATGCCATCTATTGGCAACTTGCTTATTGTTCTTCCTATTTCCTGTCTCCTGGTTTGGGATCCTAACTGTATTCAAGGTCTGTATAAGTCTCATTGGGTCCATGGCTTCCAATTTGAGTCTAGCTTCCAACAAGTCAGTACTCAATAATTAAGTACTTTTTGTTCTTTTGGGTTTGGTAATTTATGGAAGCTGCCTGAATTTGGACATTCTCTTAATAGGAAGTGCCTGTTTAAAGACACACCCTTTTCTAAGTGGGTCGTGTCTGAAGCCCTTCCCCTCAAGAGCCGAAGACGACTGCAGGCGTCCCTGGAGAATTCAGAAAAGATACCACTACCATGAATGCCTATGATCTCATGTGGGAGGAAAGAAAAATGCAGCAGGAGGGGGGAATGGTACGTACGGGTGGCCACCTTGGCAGTGATGGGAAGGCTGGGGATGTTGCTAATGACAGCGTAGACGCTGATGTTGTAGGTGAGACCTGGCTCCAGCTCCGTGATGGTGACACCACTCCAATCTCCAGGCACCCGCTGCTGGAGCTGGAGGCCCCCCCGGGCCGTCGGCTGGTAAGAGATCACATATTCCGTCACTGCCATCGGCCCGTCCCATTCCAGCTCAAGGGACCTGTCGCTGATCCCAGCCACTCGCAAGTCCTCTGGAGGGGCAACTACCGGGAGGCAATACACAGACAGCGTGAACTCAGAGGATTGCCTGCCCCACCCTGGACTCAACTCTCTTCCTCGCCTGTCACCCCGCCCCCACGCCATCTCCACAGGGTCTGCAGGCCCAGCGGACCCAGTGATTTGTCACAGCTTCACCTCCTTTCTGCACTGAGTTATCCCAACCTCCGTGAGGCTGTGAGTTAGTGGTGTTCTGGAGCTGGCTTCTTACTGGCTTGTCAAAGTCAGTCATCAAATCTTCAGGAATTTCACAAGATGGTTAGATAGGACCATTAGGAAAGTCGAAACTTTAAAAACTTACAGTGAAGCAAATTGCATTAAAAACAAAGGTCGTAAGTATTCACTTTAAAGTCGTTTCACCACATCTTCCTATCATTCAGGCCCCTGAGCGACTTCTGTGTGTTCCATCTCTCTGGAGGAGATTCTGTGTGACGTGTCTATTGCGTTTCCAGTGTCCGGTTGAGCGACCTCATGTTGGTGGTTTGAAGTTGGCCACACGGGGAGTGTTCACACCATGGAAACCGGTCAGAGCAGAGCTTCAGGTTTTTTTTGGTTTTCTCATCACAGATCCAGTTGTTAGATATTTCATCACACACCGCTGGCCAAAAGTGTTGGTCGTTGACTAAGTTACTGTCATCAGATTGTCCTGAGAGCCAATGTCTGAGTGTACAAATGGGGCTAAAGACTTCGTTCCTTGTTATCTTACAAATTATGACCCCAAGACAGGAAGCCTTGTACACTATGGTCTGATAAAGACATTTAGTGGCTCTTTCTCATAGCATTTTTTTTTTCCTTTTAAAAAAAAGAAAGTTTTGGAAGAAGTTTAACATGTTAAACTAATTTTCATTAGCCTTGACCTTGGAGGTGATGATCAAGAAGCCTTCTTGAGAGCTGTGCTTTTCTCTCTTGTCTGACTTCCCAAATGCTACTCAGAGTCACCAAAGGTTAAACCACATTGAAAGAGCCTTTCAAGTCTGGTTCCCTTGGGAAGTGAAGATTCACCAGAAGTGTAGGCATCAAATAATTGAAACTTTAAGACTAATTAGAGGATAACTCCAGTGCTTCTGTAATTGGACCTGCTCGGAGATTAAATCAAAGATCAGGCCAATACTTAAATGGCCATAATTAACCTATACATTCATATGTAGTGAAGGGTTTGGCTGGCTTAAGAATTGCCATTGGTTTTGAATTTCTCCTCTGGGTAATCTCAACCTTTCACCTTTACAAGCCAGAGGTCTAGGCCAGCTGCTTTTCATACCTGCCTCCTTGTGCTCACACGTGAAACCTCAAATCCTCAGCCAGGGCAGAAGTGAGGAGCCCTTTGACCCAGACCCACAGGAGGGAAATTAGCAGCATTTATCTGCAGTGCTGGATATTGGCTTTGATTGCATTTGATCAAAACCATTCATTGTATAAAAATCTAGAGAGCCGAGCTTCCTCTATCAGAACCAAAACAAAAATTTAAAATTTATTTTTAAAAATGTACAAAATTGAAGAGGTGCAAACGATATTTAAACAATTTAACCTTCCAATGACACTGCATAAACTTGCATCATTGATAATTCTGACGTTATTGAAGACGTGAACTGCACTGAGACGTTCAGGGCAGCCTGTATGGAACGGCTCCTGGGCCCAGGGAAGGACTGATGAGAACCTGTCAGTATTTGGCACCGTCACACTGAGAATTTATTACACACCAGGCCCAGTGCTCACTGCTCCAACATGGATTATCTCATTTGACCTCTTACCAACACCACGGAATAGGTGTTATCATTACTTCTATATTATAGGGGAGGAAACTGGGCCACACAGGGGACAGACACAGAAGCTAAGATTAGAACCCAGCCAGAATGACTCTAGAACCTCTGAGCCCAAATGCAATTCCAGTTTCCATGTACATGGCATTTCACAACCTAGAAAACATGCCACACACACCATCTAACTATTTAAAAAATCCGTTGACAGCAGCCTGTAAGGTAGTCCAAAGAGCTATAATTATTTCAACTTTACAAAAGAGGAATCTAAGGCCCGGGTCAAGGCCTGTGTCAAATCAGGAGTTGGGCTGTATGTAGCAGAACTGATTGTTCAGCCTGACTCTTCTATGGTTAGAGCTCTTTCTCCTATGATTTAAGGAGTAGAATGTGGATTGTTCTCCATGCACCGTCCCTCCAAGTAGAACTACATGAGAAGCAATCCAGACAATTGTGTAGGATGTGCTCTCCAGAATAGTGCTCATCCTGGAGCTAAGAAAACCCCTTTTAAATAAGTTATTTGGAGCATGTCTCTTGTAAGTCAGCATGTTGTTCCCAAGTTTCTTTTGCAGGACATTTTTCTGTCACAGGGACAAAAAAAAAAAGGCCATTCCAAATTTCAAGTCACCAACAACTCTTAGGGCCTATGGGACAAGTCAGTGTATTCCTTTCTGGTTTCTCTTCTAGAAAATAAAGCTAAGCGTGACAGTGAAGGGTGATCTGAGCAGATTGTTTTAGAATTGTTAAATGAACAAGAGGGGCAGAAGATTAATCTCAGCCACTTAGCCTGAGGCCTGAGCCTGGGGGGAGACACTTCCTTCACTTCCTGTGGAGGAAGAGCAAGGGGTGTCTTTCAGGGTAGAGGACTTCTCTGAGCAGTGGCTCAGTAGGGGACAGCATCACTACTTGCCCTGTAAGTGAGCAGCAGCTGTGTACTTTGGGAGCCAGTAATCGTTACCCAGCAAGACAATGTGGGGTTACAAAGCAAATTATCATGGAGACTCAAGCCTTGAGTTGATGCATTTGTGGTGGGGAAAAGGCATTCTCAGTCTTACTTTCTGGAGTTCCAACTTTGAAACTTAGGGAAGAGCAGGCTGCTAAAAAGGAAGAAGCGGTGCTTATCTGCACAGCGCCCACGCTGCTGACGGTTTTCAACCTCACGTCACGGTTTTCAACCTCACGTCACTTTTGCACTTAGGTGGTGAGAGCAGCTGGAACCAGTCCACGTGGTGTCTTGCTCTAAAACGCAAGGGGTAGGGCTGGCTGCAGTCCTGACAGAGGCAGGGGCTGATGTTGACAGATCTCTGCAGGCCCGACTGAAGTCTGGGGAGCAGCTTTCTGGATTATTTCCAGAGCCTGCTCCCTGCTTCGCCCTGGCTCCTAGGGAGATCAGGACCGCTCACAGCTAGCTTCTGCTCTGGCTGCCATCACTGGGGAAGATGCAGACGCATGGTCCCAGGTACATCTTCGCCCCATCTCTCTAATACCTTGATTTCTAAACATTTAAAAGGGCTCAGCTTCTTTATTGAAAGGTCACTTCTTTGTGGCTGTGGCTTTACAATGGACGTTTCTCAACTCTGTCTACTTAGCAGTTCAGAGAAGATTAAAGAGGGCTGGGTTCTCATTCTTATTCTGCCATTAATGAGCTGTCAGGCTCTGGGAAAGTCTCTCTCTCTCTCTCTCTGGACAACTGCTTTGAAATCTGTCAAATGAGAAGGCAGGAGTAGCTTCTATGTAAGGCAAGTCTTAAGTGCTCATATTCATGAATTGTTTGTTCTATTATCTGCACATGTGCAGAGAATAGAGGCAAAGAGCTTGAGATTCTGTCCCATGGTGCACCATGAGCAAAAAATCAAGCTGAGGAGTCAAACGCAGTGGCCTTGCTGCCAATATTCAGTTGTGTTCCAGTTCCGGGGACCCAAGCAGCCTCAGAATGAAATCCACACAATGGACAGCTCTTCTCCATGCCCTCGCCAGGGAGAAAGTGGTGACCTCCGAGGGAGTGTAGCCTGCGACTCTTCATTACCCACCTTCCCAACCCTTCTCTCCCCTCGGTGCTCCTCGAGGCGGTCGGAGCAGTACTGCTGTTGTGTGTGCACCTGGCCAGAAATGTCAAGCAGGGGATAAATAGCCCCCCCTCCGACAGCCTTTTCACAAACAGCAAGCCAAGGAGCCCTTGAGGAATGACCTAGATTCCTCTCTGGCAGAGACCTGTGGCATTTGGTTTTAAAGGCAAGCTTTAAGAGCAGTACTTCATGCAATGAGAGGTGGTTCCAGGGTTGCTATAGAAACAGATGGAGATTATGCAACTGTCCTTCCTCACATGTTTTGGGAACCTGTTAAGTGATTTATCTGGGCCTACAGAAGTCTTAAAGCAGCATAGAAGTAATGTGTGTATGGTTTGGACTCAACCAAGTCATAGGAATCCTGACAGTTACTGAGTCTTCCCAGAGGTGACCAGGAGGGCTCGTCTCCAATGCATTTTGGACCCTGGATCAGATCAAGCTTTTGTTTGTGAATGGACCCATCCCTGTAGAAAGACAGGTCAAGAACATGAGGGCAAGGGCAGACATGCAAACACTGAGTTGTGTATGGGATAGAATACCCTCAACACAGCAATGGCCAGAAGTGACCCGGAGTACCCTCCAGGTGGGGCTTAGCAGCTCATCCTCTGGGTGGAAACTAAGTTATGCTTTATCCTTGCTGTCCAGAAACTGCATGGTGACTTTAGATTCAGAAACAATGAGGCTTAACTTCTGTCTGAATTTTGCTTTGGAACAATTGATACGATAACCATATTTGTAGAGCGACATTCCAGTTCAGTAAACGAAATTGAGAGACTAAATGAAATAAGTAAAATCAGAAAAAACTTAATGTAGAAAAAAAATTCTCCTAGGCAGTAGATTATCTTTTTTTTTTTTTAAATTTTAAATCTTTCATCATTGCCATTGATCTTCCAAAAGAATGTAACTTGAAGTCACATGGTGGGAAGTTGGGTCTGCCACAGAGCGGAGTGTCATTGAAGATACTGAGGAGCAGGAGGCTGGTACAGCCAGTTTCCCAGGATTTCTCCTTTAGAAAACTCCTGGAATTGCTCAACCAGAAAGTTGGAAAAGGTTTGTTGTGATTTCTGCTTTTAAAATTTCCCAGTGGGCATCCCGAGCTTTAAATGGACAGGATCAATTACTAATCTGTGCTGTTTAAAGCACAAATAAATGTCTCAGCAATACTCACTGATTAATCAGAGGAGGATGAACAAAAGGGAGACAATGAAAATAACCTGTTTGGGGACAAAATATATTTTTAAAAAAATCAACCCTAATGAAATATTAATATCTTTCTCACTGTTGGATTGAGAGCTCCATTTTCAGATGCCCCCTGTCCGTCTCTAAGGTATGGATTACATTTGGGGTGAGATTTGTGCTGTAGTCATCAGCAACACAATGAGCCCCCTCCTTTTAATATTCTGTACTAATCATCGGAATGTCGCTGTTGCTGGATGCCTATAGTATTTTTTTTTTCCTATTTACGTTTGATTTCTTGCCTGCACTTTTCTGCTTGTAGGCCCTCGGTCATTTCATGAATCAATAACCCTCGCCATCTGCAAGCTCCAAGGTGAGCGGAGATCCTTGTAGACTGGCTCCCGCCCCCTGGGGAGCTCTGTAAAAGGAGGCAGCCTGGGACCATGGCGTCAGGCCTGGTAACCGCGGGTGAGCAGGTGCCTGCTCCATCTGCTGTGATTTGGGTGTGGTCTGGTTGTGTCCCCCAAGGCCCCCCAGGTGGAATTTGTCCTCTTTATAATTGAAGAAAGTGGAAGCCATCTGACTGTGGTGTCCAGAGGTGGAGGTTTTGGGGGGTGGTTAGGGTAGAGAAGGTCATCAGGGTGGAGCCCCAGGACTGAATCCTGGTGGCTTTGTGAGAAGAGACACACGTGCGCTCTCTGTCTCTTGCCAGGTGACACCCTGCATGCTCCTGGACTCTGCCAGTAGGAAGGCCCTCGCTCGATGTGGCCCCTTGACCTTGGGCCTCTAGAACTGGGAGCCCAAATAAGCCTCTTCTTATGATTCAACAGCCTGTGGGATCCTGTAATCAGTGACAGAAAACAGACCCGCAGCCTCCCCTGGCACCGCAGGGACAGTGGGTGTCATCGTTGTTAGTAAGTTGCCTTTGTTAGAGTCAGGGGTAAAGACCTGCCTCTCAGCCTGAACTTGACCTTTCCTAAGCCCCCTTTTAATCTGCCTCACCAACTGTTATTGACTTGAAAAATCAGCTGTCTTGGAAGGCAAATGACTACAACCCGACCGAGAATGACCTTACCTAAAATTCATCTTCCCTCCCGCACCTGTTTCCAATCTCCCCGGAGGTGTCCAGTTAGTGTGCTGGACCAGCCCTGCCCAGCCTCCCGCCCAGCTCCCCTTCCTACCTGCCGAGCAGTCAGGGCCCTGGTAGCCCTCTTCACAGACGCAGAGCCCCTCCTGGCAGTGTCCTCGCCCGCTGCAGGCATTCAGACACCGCCGCTGGCCGCAGTCCTCGCCCACATAGCCCTCCTGGCATAAACAGGTGCCGTTGGCACAGGTCCCCTTCCCCGAGCAGTCGCCGGGGCACCTCAGCTCCCGGCAGTCCTCGCCCGTGTAGGGCTCTTCACAGACGCACTCCCCGTCCACGCACAGCCCCCTGGAGCTGCAGTCCGTGGGGCACCGGAGCTCGGAGCAGTCGTCCCCGCTGTATTCGCTGTCACAGATGCACTGGCCGTCCACGCACACGCCCCGACTGGAGCAGCCCAGCGGGCAGTAGGGCTCTGAGCAGTTCTTGCCAAACCAGCCTTCGTTGCAGATGCAGCCACAGGACTCCAGGCTAAAGTTGCCGTGGCCGCTGCAGTGAGGGATGTAGTCCAGTTGTCCTGGAATGGTCAAGGAGAAGGTCAAGGGCAGCATCGGCCTCTCCTATAAATGGAGTGTGTGTGTGTGGGGGGAGATAGGCAGAGACCTCTAGTGATCTCTGATCAGATTTGTGTTGCTAAGAGTTAAGCTCCACATAGTTTGGTACACTATCAATTTAATCACTATTTTCAGGTGTTATGGTGCCTGATGCTAGCACAGTGCTGGGGGCCAGGATGAAGGAGATCTGATCCTCCCCCTGGAGCTCATCTTCAGGGTGCCTCAGATCAGGGTCATTTCATTAGAAGTGGACTTTAGGTGAAGATTCATGTAAAGGTCACTTATTGGAAAGTACATAGTGGAAAAACCTGGTAGGGGAGAGGGGCAGATCAGAAGGGAGGGCAGGCAAGCTATCAAGCAATGTCCCAGGGAGACTGACTTGGGTTCAACCCTGCAGGGTCACACCACATTGAGGATTGGGGGCTGTCCCCAAGGGCAGTACATTTTAGGCCTCTAATTCTCTCTTTGGGCAGGTCCAGGGATTCCAATCGATTCAGGATGGTCCTGTATCAAAGATGCTCACTCCGTTATTGGCTGTGGGGACTGAAAGGGATTGGTGGGGCGTGCCAGCGGGTGTGGGCTGAGCACTGGGTCAGCGGGCAGAGGAAGGCGTCCTGCCTGCCATCAACTGACAGTTCATTCATCAAAGCTCAGCACCAGGTTGCTTCCAAGTCTTCCAGAGTCCTCAGCCCCACTCACCCTTTGCTGCAATCCTCTGGATTCTTTGCATATCCCTGTCCTGACCCTTGCTGTCGTAGAGCTACAGTGGTTAATTGATCTGTCTAAACAAACTCATTAAGCACACACACACCAAGTACCTGCTTGGCATCCTTGTCTGCACTTGACCCTGAGGATGTGAAGTTTAGTAAATTCACTCTGCTGCTTCATGCACTCCCTGTGGCCTGAAAAGATACTGCACTGACATCGCTCCACAGCTCTTCCTCGTATGATTTTTCCCATCTGCCAGGAATCCTGGTAAGAAGACCACTTACAGAAGCCACCCTGCTTCTTGAGCAGCAAAGAGACCATGGAAACCTATGACATTGCCCTGCTCTGCACTCCACTGGACAGATGAATGACCCATGAGTTCTCCCAAAGAACAGGGGACTGAGTGACGGAGCACCCCCTGCTAGCCTTCAGCTGTTTGTCTCTCGTGTGGGTGAGGGAGAGGAGAAGGAGCTGAGGAAAACCCATGAAATACTTCATTACTCAAAAGCTGCCCCCAGTCTTGCTGTGACCGGGGGACTATGGACATCCTCTGTTAAAACTGCACTCCACTCTCACCCCGAGGAGGCCTTGAGATATGGAGCCCTAGAAGTGGACACTGGCACCCAAGATAAGGTAACAGATGCCCCTGCTCATCAAAGAAGGGAAATGCCTGGGTCTGAGGTCCCCTGAGGTGAGAACAGATGGGCACAGAGCTGAGAGGGCTGAGCTGATAATAGCTCCACTTACATGGGGCCCACCAGAAGCCAGTCTGTGATATTGAATGGCCCCTTGTTCTAGTTTGGATGATAACCCTGTAGATGTGGAAAGGGAGGCACAGGCTATGCAACTTACTTTGTTTGAAAGCTTGGAAGCAGCACAGGTAGGATTTGAATTCAGGAAGTCTGGCTCTGGATACTTAATCAGGCTTTGCAGAGAGGTACAGGTAACAACTCGTAAGTGCTACTAGTTAGCAGGCAGGCAGAGTGAGGCCTAAATCCTCAGAGCGTTTGCCCTTTTGGAGGGCGGGATGAGCTGTGTGAGCGTGTGTGCCTGTGTGTGTGCACAGGCATGCGTTATTTGTGGAGGGAGCAGGGTTAAAGCGTCCATCCTGCTGGAGAAGATGCGGACAGGTCCTCTGAGACCTTAATGACTATCATTTATTCCGATGGGAGAAAGGCTGCGATTGAGTGAACACAGCGCCTGCCTTCTCTAGTCCCTCAGGTGAACATGAATAGATATCAATTCAACAGCCTGTGAAGACCAGAGATGAATGAAGACAGACATCAAATTCCCTGCTTGCCGTCCAAGTTGCTGTGCTGAGCCGTTGTACCATTACCTGACTCATCCCCCCCAAATCAGGTTAATGTATTTCAAACTGGCTACGCAGTGTTGAGAATCCCTGAGCTGAATCCCTGGGGACGGGCTGCCTTTAGATCTCACAGACTCGGCAGGCCCGAGCCTTGGATGAGGGTACTTTTTTAAGATGCAGAGTTTGCTCCCTTACTTCACCTCCCTCTCATCCCCCACCTCCCGGCCCAGACTCTACCTGTGGCCGCGCTTTCTTGACAGCAGTTGGTGGCACACTGGTCCCGCAGCACTGACACCTCCCTCTCCAGCATCTCGATCCGGCTCAGCAGCTCCTGCAGCACCTGGGCGGAGCCGGCACACGGGCAGGCCTTTTTGGGGAGGTTGATCCTGTGGGTGAAGGTGACCTGGCTCTCGTGGTCCGAGGTCTGCCCTGTGTACTCTGCCAGAGTCTCGTCTTCCGCGCTCACCTCCTGCTCGGCCGAGGCCTCTAACCCCGAGGAGCAGAGGCTGTCCAGGGGTACGTTAATGTTGTACACGTGGTTGAAGACCATGGGCTGCTCTTTGCTGGATGTGCTGTAGTTGCCCATGCCTCCTTCGTCCTCCACTGCCTGCCTCTGGACTCTTTCCGTGGTCACCTCCAGCTGACACTCTGAGGGCTTGAGCATGGAGCCCAGAAGGATCAGGTTGACACCGATCAGCATATTCTTCAGGACCACTGTTTCCCCATCTGCCCCCATTCTCTCAGCCAGAGCTCGTTCAAGACCAGCCTTCAGCACACGGCATGGAGTTGTGGGAATCTGCAAGAGAATCCAAGGGCCAATGCAACCTCTGAGACCTGCGCCTTGGTGCCACCACTCTCCCTAGTCCTACAAAGCTGAAGAAGGGGCAGACAAAGGTTCTGGCAGGCACCGAGGAGGGACAGTGGATGCCCAAGCCAGAAAGTCCCAAGACTTTGTTCTTGGAGGACTGGATCTCTGAAAATGGATACTGCTTTTGCATGAGACTGTTCTGGCCTAGAACTTAAGGACTCTGGCCCCCATGGCAGGAAAGTTTCTCCTAGAAGACACACCCGGGCTGGGAGCGGGGGCTTTGTGGATAGAAGGTTCCTCTTAGGAGAGCTCAGACCTTCCTTCCCTTCTGGTTGAGAATTAGATGAAGTGGGCCACAGTTCCCCTAGATACCTATCAGGAACGGGCCCCCCGAGCCACTTCAGAGAACTTACTAACTCCTTTAAACTCACCTCTTCAGCACAGGTTGACTTTTGTATAACCAACCAGGCAAATAATACAGTTCCAGGTAATTGTAATTGTTAATTATCATTGGGTACACTTGTGATTATCTGGGACTGTGTGAGCCCAACTTTCTTTTAATCATCTCATTAGTATAGTTCCAGCGCTCTGTGACCACAGGGTGCCTTTCTTCCAAGGTCCTGTTGAAATTGCTAAAATAATAAATTACCTCCTCTGCTGGTTACCTAGTCACCGGGAACCAAGGAGTACAATAAATTCACAGTAATGAAAATCTGTTTTACAAAAACTGTGTTCCCTTTTTATTTCCTATGTAAAAAAAATAATAAAATAAAAGAGACTTACAAATTTTCGTTCTGAAGGTTTAGAGCTACCAAGAAGATGAAGGACTTGGGAACCTAGTGAGAGTAACTGAGAGTCTGAGGAGAAGGTAGCAGAGGGCACGGAAGGCGCACGGTGCATAGACCCTGCCGTGTATCTCACTCACCCCTCAGGGCAACGAACCCCAGCACTTGACCAGATACTTACCTTGCACTGGAGTGATTTCTGCCTGGACAGGTTAAGATTTGCAGGCAGACCAGACTGACGTCCAAACCCTTATTCCTAACTGCTATATTCCAGCACCTTTCTCAAAAAGGGAGTTCAACTCTATCTTGTCTCTGAGAGAAATGGTGGAACTTGTAGAATCTTCCCAGAAATGCTGGATTTTGATTGGGCCTCATTCAGTGTTCCTTCCTCCACTAAGCATTCTTCTCCATCTCTTCCCTGCTCTGCTCCCCCAGTGTAGGCTGAGTCAGCCCCCATTATTCCACAAGTCCCCTTCTAACAGCACGGAGGGTGCAAGACTGGGCCTCCTCGGCTTGCATCTCCCCACCTGGTCTGCCGAAGCGACTGGGACCAGCCTGAGCCTTATCTGCAGCCCGTGACAGTGTCCAAGACAGGGAACGTGCCCAAGGTGTGGTGGTGAGTGAGTGGATGGGCAGTTGTATGAAAGGCTGAACAAATAGATGAATGAGTGAGCAAGTGCTCTGTGGGCAGAAGGTTGGCTCCTTCTCCAATTCATTTGATCCCTCCCGGTTAACCCCAGTCACGCGCTGTTCTCTTCAGTTTCCACTCTGAACAACGACTGAGGTTGGTTGAACTAGGAGCGACATGTATCACTGACAACCACAGAAACCCTCTCTTCTTGCTCAGCCTGTAGGTTGTGTGTTGGACTGTGGTCCATCTCGGTTTCCAATATGGAGAGGAAGCAGAAGACCAGAACCGTGGAGACCACAGGCTTCTGAGCCAGCTGCCCAGGCTCGGGCCTCAGTCCCTTCACTTTCTAGCTGTGAAGAGATCCCTTACCCTCTCTCTGCCTCAGATTCTCATATATAGAGGTAATAATGGTACCTACCTTAAGGAGTAGGAGTGATGACTGAGTTACTATCTGTATAATTCTTATTAACTAAAATAAATATGGTTTGCAGACAGGTAGAATATTTTTTCTGGTTCTTCTCTTTTTCAAGAACTGCCCTAAAACTGCTGGAATATATGAAATGTCCTATCTATTAGGGGACATCAGAAAAGACTGCTCCTTAGCATAATCTTGTGGAAACACTGAGTGTTGTGGGAGATGGAGAGCCTCCTTCACATTCAGGTGAGGTAACTCTACCTTGGGGGCAGGTGGAGGGTGGTGTCTGAACCAACTGCCCTTATAACTCTAAGCTCTCCCACGCCCCCTCCCATCCCAGCTCTACCTGCCTTCCTGATTCCCCGTGTTCAGGCTTTACGTCCCCAGAGAGTCACTTCTGCCCTCCTGTTATTGAACCTTTCCAGGAACGGCTCTGCCCTCCGTCATTTACACATGGGAGGGGCCTTGCTGTCTCTCCTATTGGATTAAAGTTTGTTTATCTGATCCATGTTGATATTACTGAACAACTTTTTTTCTTGTGGGAATTATCACACAATACTCTGTAGTACTTAGTGCAGATTTCTGCACATAGTTGATACTCAATAAATAAATAATAATGTTATAAATAAAAAGGAAGACAAGTGACAGGCAAATCAAGAGGGGAAAAAATGTTAAGTCCTACACTTTGATCCCAAACAACAGCAGCAAGATTATACAGAGAGGGGAAGGCACAGTGTTATATGGGGAAAAACATTCAATAACTAAACTTTCTATGAGTCAGTCAGGAGTAACCTCCAAATTCTTATTTAAACATAGGCTTTATTAATTGAAATACAGAATAAAGGACAAACAAGGGGCGGCTCTGCTCTGTACTACACTGATCACCAGTCAAAACTGGGCCGCTAAGGTGTTAAAAGGGCTCAAAATTGTGTCATATGAGAGGAGGTCATTCATTTCTGAATCCCTTATTCATTAATAAACCTTTTTTATTAATAAGTATGTACTATCCTGGCCCTTTGTTCATGGAAGTTACATTCAAGAGTGTGTGGGATGATGGGGACAGAAAACAAGTACCAAAAACAATTACGTGTATTATAGATATCATCACACATTGTATGTTTATGCTATTTAATACGAGTATATTTAACATATACTTGGGTAGGTTTGCATCAGAAAGGGGTAAGTGCTGTGGAGAAGAATAAGAGATAAGCCAGCCAGCCTGGGAGTTGCAGGGCCAGGTGGGGTCAGGTGATTCTTTAGAGAGGGGGCTGGAGAAGCCCCTCCGAGGAGATGATTGCTCAGTGCAGATCCATCAGAAGCAGGGTAGGGGGGGAGCAAATGACAGCGGCTGTGCATCCAGCCATGGGGAGCGGTGAGAGACAGGTGAGGTGGAGTGATGGCACATCTGGGGCCAGGTGAGGAGCTGATGTGGGGAGATAAGGTTAGAAGAGTAGTGGGGTCTAGATCATGAATGGCCCGCTAAGCCACCAAAAGGACTTTGACTTTCATTGTGGATATATGGTTGCATATATTCTCAAACGCACCCACGCACTCAAACATTTATTATGACCTCCTTACAGTCCTTGAGAGATGCATGGTCTCAAGGAAGAGATAAAAAGGTAAGTAAACATAATGACAATGCAATGTGATAATGACCGTGAGTCCTAAGTGCTGGAGGTGCCTAGGAAGGCCGGGAGGTAAAACAAGCGGTCCTACCAGGGAAGGTGACACAGAGACCAGTGAGTAGACATCAGTGCTGTCTGTCAAGTATTTCTGGCCCGGCTTTCCAGGCACACAGTAAGACCGCATTTTCCAACGCCTTTTTGGTTAGGTGAGACCATGTCACTAGTTCAGCCAGCCAGTTGTGAAAGGCAGTGACATGTGTCACTTCTGGGCTGATGCATTCAGTTGCTTAGGGGATGTCGTCCAGTTCTTTCTCCATGGTGACTCCGTGTTCAAGATGGTGGCTGCGCTGGGCAGTCGGGGTCCCCAGAGGACCATAGTGAACTGAGTCAGTTCTGCTGAGTCACGGTGAATGTGCAGTGTAAGAGAGAAATATTACTCTGGTTTTTGAAGCACAGGTTTCTGGGATTGCTTCCCCTCCTCATCCCCCCACAGCGTGACCCCTTCTATCAGAAGATAAATACTGAAATGGCCCTTCAGGGATTCCTCTTTAGTAGAGACAGAAGTTCATTCCATATGGCAGAAATTGCATTTGCAAAAACTCTGATGTGAGCAAGAACACAAATATCTGAAGGGCCGTGAAATGTAAGGGACTGGACATTTACACAGCAAAAGGGCCCAGGGAGGTAGTTTCCATCAGCTGGGGAAATGTACATGGGAAGAGATTTGGGTCCACCATAAAGACTATCTTTCCTGGCACTGAGCACTGCTCGAGTCACCATGGGCAGTGAGCTCCTGGTCACTGGACCTGTTCAGGCACAAGCAGAAACACTCCTTGGTAAGAATGCTGAAGGGGATTTTCAAGCATCGGAGGAGACTAAATGGGACTAAAATGAATGTTACCGTCTTTTCTTTGCTGATACTTTATAAATTCACAGTCTTGGTGGACTTCTAGGAATCTACCCACTACAAGGTTGTATTGATTTCTAGGGCTGCCATAACAAATCATCACAGACGGGCAGCCCCAAACAACAAAGCTCCATCCTCTCACGGTGCTGGAGGCCTGGAAGTGCATGATCCAGGTGTTGGCAGGTCAGTTCTCTCAGAAGGCTCCGAGGGAGACTCTATTCCTGCCTCTTTTCTAGTTTCTGAGGATGCCCGGGAGCCCTGGGTGATCCTCGCCTGGTGGATGGTGCAGCCTTCTCTCTGTGTTCCGTTTGTTCTCTTTGTATCCTCACACGACCATCTTCTCAGAAGCTCACTGGCCATACTGCATTAGGGACCCCACCTACTCCAAACCGAAGAGGTCTTAGGAGCCAGGACTTCAACCCAGCTACAGCTCAGGTGCATAATTCAGCCCCAAACAAATACCAATAGTAACTGGGCCAAAATAAGCTGTTCTTTGAGTTGCTTTGCCTCATTCCTTGCAGTAACCCTTTAGTGTAGGGAGGAATGATATTTGGGACTCTGGATATTTATGGCTCTGGGACGACTGGGGCATCAAGCAATCAGAAGGGGACATTAGGCAGTTGGA